AACGCGCTGGTCTTCAGCAAAAGATTTGGTTAACCCTGAGCGAACTGGAAGAAACGCACTTTTTATGTTAACGAGCGAGGAAAGGTGAGAGCTCTTTAATGCTGTTCTAGCCATTTCAGTGATGAAAATTTGCTCTACACTTAGGGTTTCGAAATTTTCCATTCGTTTGAACGCTGAACTTGAGTCAAAAGTCTAAGTTATCGTTCCGAGAGGAAATCACAATGTAGATGTATCGATTTATGGCGTATCGTCGAGGATTGCTGTTTTATTCCAGTCTACTTTGAAATGTGAAATCGTAATGCTCACGAGTCGTCACGTAGCAGAGGAAATAGATCGCTGTAAGGTTGCATGTCCTAGTATCATATGTTACCGAAGTCCCCGTGTAGGTAATTGCAGGGAGAATTCAGTATCTTAAATGCATTTCGAGTTACGAAATGTAAAAAATGTGTATCATGATTATTCAGGGAGGAATGCTCTATGATTAATGGAACTAGTTGTTTGATTATCAGAATGACTTTTGGTTTTAAAAATTATAACATAACTGGGTAGTAAGGGTTAAGCGTTAGAAAAAATCGAAACACATAGAACCAACTTTGAAACTCGAATACAATGCACGCCGCCACCTTGGTTAGTGTGACGCGTTACGGTTTGTGACTGCAAACAAAATATCTGTTGTTTGAAGATAATGGTGACAACTACGTACTCTCGTTCGATGACAAATGGATTCCTGAACATGTGAATATTCGTCCTTCAGTAGATGTTCCCAGGGATTTCAGTTAGGGAATCTTTTAAGCGAAGGCAACTTTTTAATTTAAAAGAGTTTAAGACAATCCTTAAGACAAGATTAAGGTGTTGATTGCTAATAGGGCCCGAACTTGGTGTTTACTATGTCTTGTTAACTTGCGAATAATTTGTGGTGATCACCTTTCAGTGCGTAATGTTAGGCAATTACCCAGGTAAATTTATCCAGTTGTCCACGTTATTTCGATTAGGTTAAGTTACGTTCATTCAAAACGTTTTTCTTTGCTTAAACACAACAAAGATCTTTGACGGTGTTTTATCAACAATTATTAACTGAGTTTTAAAACTGCCTGGAAGTTTTGTCTGACCATGTGTAATCTTTTTCCCTTGCGAACTCTTCAAAGAAGCATGGGTGACCGGATAAAACCGCTGAAATTTCTAAGAGACGTTCTCCTTCCACCGGAAATGAACGTAGAAAAAGAAATGGTGGACGTTCTTCCAAAACTGCCGGCCCGAAAGGAGGATATCTTTATTACGTCATATCCAAGATCAGGTTCGTTTACAAGTGACAGGGGTCTTTTCTCTAAAATGTGAAACTCACTGTAAATCAACAAATGATTTGTTTTGATGTCTTCAGTCCACTGGGCAGGGGACATAATTATGTTATTGGTTTGTACTTAATTGGTTCCTCTTCGTCACTATGACTACTCAGAGTAGTCCGAGTAGTCTTAACGGCACATGCATACGGCAACGACAGTAACAACGAAGGGCACAATAATGACATGGCAAAAAGGCTACGTTTGGGTTCAGTTGAGTTAGGAGCACAAAGTGATTGTGAAAGGAATTCCAGTTTGACTTGGGACGGAGTGAACCGTGAGAAAATACCTAGATCGCGGTTGGCCCGACCCCATTTCCCAAAGTTTTTTTTCTCGTTCGCCATTTCTTTTTATCCCTTACGTCTATAAGACAGTTTTTTTGTTACAAGATTACAGAGTAACAAGAACGACGATGATACAAGCAACACTAAAAATAAATGAAAGTAACAACCAGAAAAATTGTAACGAGAGGAATATATGGCCGTTGCGCAAGCCAACCTTCTCGCATGGTGTAGGTTGAGCTCGCTGTAAATTATCAGTTATGTATACAGGGCTTTTTTATCAGTACTTTTGAATTAAGTGAAATGATTCCCCACAAACGATTAAGCACTGACTCTCCAAGGTGCAGAAAATAAACTCTTTGATAATTATTAGCCTCTCATCAATAGCAATGACTTATTTTTGTGTAATGCCTCCTCCTTTTAATAAAGACTGAAATGACGTCTCTGCCGCGATCCGCACTTCTCCTTGCAAAATGCAAATGGAAGAATTGTACATTTTCTGGAACTTTGCAAGTTTCTGTTGTCTTTTTTCGCAGGCTCCACTTGGACTGAGGAAGTTGTGTGGCAGATTCTTCATGATGGTAAAATAGACGAGCGTCGATTGGATGAACGAATGCCTTTTGTGGAAGGGATTATTCTGCCTATTAAATCTTATCCCTATACTGTAACAGACCCCGAGTCCGCCAAGAAAATGTTTACCAGCTTCCCTGAGCCTCGCGTATTCAAAACTCATCTTCCTTATTGCTTCGTCCCTAAGGGCCCTGATGAAGCTGACAAGCCTCGATACATATATGTTGTGCGCAATCCCAAAGATGTGCTTGTGTCTATTTATCATCATCACCGCAACATGCCTTATTTAGTTGAAATTCCTTCCTGGGACGA